CCTGTTTGTTTCATGGTGGGGTCCATTGAGTGCTTGGCTCCTGCCTCCCAAGATTGTCAAGAGTTGCCAAAGAGGGAGCTCCGGCCACTGTCTTAGGCCTGGGGAAGGGAGTGTCTTGCAGCCCTGGGGTGGTTGAAGTTGGTTAGGCCAGCCTAAGAACCCACTCTGTGAAAACCCAAACCCCCACCCCATAAGGCATTCCAAGTAAGAAAGAGGGGGCCAGCATTCAGAGTGTATATGGTGGAAGGGCTTTCCAGAGCCATCCCCAGACATCCTATTGATCTTTTCAGTGTCAGTGACTCCGTGGGGCTTAGGAAGTGAGGGTACCCCAAGTTCAGCAAGCCCAGCTCTGGCTGGGGCTGGAAGATGTGTGATAGAACAGGTGAGCATCTTGAGATGAAGATTGTGAGTGTAGATTGTTGATGTAACCACATCGGTCTTGGAGTCAGACAGTGGCTTGAAATGAATCCTGGCTCTAACTGCTGTTGACTGGGACTTCAGGCAAGTGATTGTCACTGGGTACCTGTAAAATGTGGTTAATTAGGGTGCTTGGAATACACGGAGGCCCAGGCCAGTGCTTTACCTACAGTTAACAGCACACAACAAACCCACTGTCATTGAGTTGATTCCAACTCATAGGGTAGACTCTATAGAGCAGGGTATCAGAGACTATAAATGTTCACTGCAACAGAAAGCCGCATCTTTCTCCCTCACAGGGCAGCTTGTGGGTTTGAACCTCCAATCTTGTTAAAGTTAGCAGTTTCAGTGCTTAACCCATTATGCCACCAGGGCTTCTAGACTCACAGTAGGACCTGGGAGAATGGGAACTACCACTCTTGTTGGAATCAGTTGCCATGGTGACAGCCCAGCGGGGCCATGTTCCCTCATGGTAGATACACTGATTACGTTGAGTTTTGATAAGTAAACTTCTTGTGGCTCAGTAAGTTGTCAGGACTTTAGAACCCTTTATCATACAGTAGTTTCAAAGGCAGGGCCCAGTGCCAACTTCAACCTGGAAACTTTCCCACAGGATCTGCCATCTCTACTCCCTACTCTGACTTTTCTGCAGTGGACCTTGTCCTTAGACATGTTTCTGCCCTTCGCCCTGGACCCCTCAATAGCATTATCCTTTCCGTGCTCACACAAAGGTCTGGCTAACCAAGGTTGGTTGGTTGTGGTCACTTAGAATTCTAGAGCATCGTAGTAGAAGAGCTAGAGATCAACCTGGCTGCACCCTGGGTATTTTTAGGTGCTGCTAATTCTCACCCACTGGTGATGAGCCAAAGGTAGTTTTCTTCCTTCCTCACTATGTTTCCTACAACTCCAACCCTGCAATGAGCCGAAAACCAGGGAAGGGAGAATAGCCAAGCACCCAATTTCAATATTTACAGATTGCAAGTATGATTCATTGTGGACTTGTTTTGACCAAAATGGCTCTTATAGCTGTGTTGTTGTTGCTGTTGTTAAGTGTTGTCAAGCTCCTTCTGACTCATACTGACCCTGTGTAGGGTTTCTGAGGAATGGCTGGTGGGTTTGAACCGCCCACCTTGTGGTTCCTACTGACCTTGTGGTCCAGTGCTTTATCCCACAGCACCACACACACTGGGGACTCTTTTGTCCTTCAGAAGGGGACAGCAAGGAGAAAACAGCCCCACCAGTGTAACCATGTGACTGCTTTTAAGAATGAAGTTCTTTAAACAAACAAAACCAAATATGGCGGCTCTAGGTCATGCCTTCCAGTCATGTCTTCTTTTTTCACCTCTTGACTTGCCAACTTTTCTTTTTTATGATGATGAGGGATGTATGAATCCATATTCCCTTCAGGCCTTTGCTCAAATGTTACCTTCTCAGTGAAGACTTCATGTACCCCTCTGTATTAAATTGCAACCTCACCTCCCCCCATTCCTGCTGTGTATGTGATCAGATTACTGATGACCATCTTCTGGTGAGCTGCACGAGGAGATCACTGGACTGCAAGTTCAGTGTGAACCGCAAGGTCAGTGGATCAAATCCACCAACCGCTTCTCAGAAACCCTAGACAGAGTCACGATGAGTCGGAACCAAGTTGACGGCACTTGACAACTTAACAACAACAATAAGAGTCCTGGTGTGGTATGGCAGGATAAGCACTGGCCAGCTAGCCACAAGGTCAGCGGTTCAAACCCACCAACCGCTCCTTGGAAACCCTACACAGGATCGGAACTGGCTCGGTGGCACTCATCAACAACAACAACATACAGTAAAGAGTCCTGGAGATCCAACAGTTTAAATGCTAACGTGTTTAGCTCTTAACTGAAAGGTTCAGCGACGTGAGCCCACCCAGAGGCTCAATGGGTTACAGAAAACTAGAAAACCGGAGGTGAGGGGCAGTGGTTGCTGTGTGTCGAAGTCGAGTGGATGTCTCCCAACCAAAAACAACAGCAAAACATTGTCTGTGGTGCATATTGCCAATGTTACCTCTTGGACTGTAACTTCAGGAGGCCATTGCTTTCGTTCTTGGTTTACTGCTCTGAGGCCCAGTACACTCACTAGAGACTCAAGTATTTGAATGAATGGTACAGACTGCCCGTGGTGGTGGGCATGTGTCTTTGAAAACTGGCAGGTTGTGGGGTGTAGCGCGGAGAGAAGAATCATCCTGGGAATGACTTAATAAAACGTGGACAGGTGGAGTCTGCCATTTGACGCATTGCCGCCCTTCTGGACAGAATGGAACGCTGCCCCATGGGGTTTCCTAGGCTGTAATCTGTATAGGGGAGTGCTGGTGTGGCGCTGTGGGTTAATGCGCCAGACTGAAAGCCGTTTGAACTGCAAGGTCGGCAGTTCAAGTTCACCAGCTGCTCCTTGGAAACCCTATACAGGGTCGCTATGGGTCGGAACCGACTCGACGGCACTTCACAACAACAACAACAATCTATGTAGGAGCAGGTCTCTAGGTCTGTCCTCCCAGGAAGTCACTAGTGGGTTCAAAGTGCCATCCTTTTGGTTAGCAACCCCATTGTGCCACTAGGGCTCTGTAAAAAAATAAAACAGATGATACAAATAGATAGACAAATCAAATACAAATCAACAATCACATTAAATGTAAATGGATTAAACGCTCCAAATGTAAGAAAGGATCAGAACACGTTCCAATTTAAGAGGTACACATCAATTATAAAGATAAAGTCAAAACATGTTGTTGTTGTCAGGTGCCATCGAGTCAGAACCGACTCATAGCGACCCCATGCACAGCAGAACGAAACAATGTCCGATCCTCGGCCAACCTCACTACCGCTGCCACACTTGACCCATCAATGATGCCACCTGGCTGATCCATCTCGTTAGGGGTCTTCCTATTTTTCTCTGACCCGCCACCTTACCCAGCTTTACATCCTTCTCCAGTGACTGTTTCCTCCGGACAATGTGTCCAAAGTAGGAGAGACGAAGCTTAGCCATCCTGGCCTCCAGGGAGCAATCTGGCTGCACTTCTTCCAAAACAGATCTATTGGTTCTTTTGGCAGCCCATGGCACTTTCAACATTCTCCTCCAACACCACAACTCAAAGGCATCAATTCTTCTACAATCCTCCTTATTCACTGTCCAGCTTTCGCATCCATATGAGGCTATTGAAAATACCATGGCCTGGGTCAGGCGCACCTTAGTCCTCAAGCTGACATCTCTGCTCTTCAATACTTTAAAAAGTTCCTGTGCAGCAGATTTGCCCAATGCAATACGTAGTCTGATCTCTTGACTGCTGCTTCCATGAGTGTTGATAGTTGATCCAAGAAGAATGAAGTCCTTAACAACTTCAATCTTGTCCCCATTGATAAGAATGTTGTTTATTGGTCCAGTGGTGAGGATTTTTGTTTTCTTGACATAACATAGATGACTAGAAAAGAATACACCATGCCAACAGTTAAATTATAAGAAGGCTAAAGTGGTTATATTAATATAGATAAAATTGATTTCAGGTCAATAACCAGCATGTTTATTTTTAAAGCCTTTGCAAGGTTAATTACTCTAAAGCAAAGATGAGAAGATAAGGGGGCCGGGGAAGTAGAGTTTTGGAAACAGAACAACCAGACCACAATTCAAGAGTATGTTGACACATTGTGGAAAGTGTAACTAAAGTCACTGACTTCCTATTTATGTATAAATTGTCAGTTTGGAATCTAATTTGCTGTGTAAGCTTGTACCAAAAACATAATGAAATATTATTTAAAAAAAGAAAGAAAAGGAACTGTGCAAACAACTTAGAGGCTACTGCTGGGGACTTCTGTACGTCCCCGTATGTCTGGTGTAACCGTCGGTGGGTTTGATCCTACTGCCTTTACACTCTACCAGGCCCTGGGTCTCCAATTTGGGGCAGTACGTCCATGGTGTTAACAAACTGTTGTAACAACAGTTGGTTGATGTAAAGGACCTTTTCATCTTCTGTGTGGGGACCCTATAACATGGTGGGGATGCTTTATTCTGGCTAGGAGCTGAGAGGCAGGGGTTGCACAAACAAACCTAACCTAAAGTCTGGTGGCTTAAACCCTTGGAAAAAAGGGCTGTTTTCATAAGATTGTTGTTGTTAAGTGCCATTGAGTTGGTTTCAACTCATTTTGACTCTGTATTGGGATCCAAGCACTAACTGGTGGGTTTGAACTGCCGACCTTGTGGTTAGGGGTCCATTACTTAATTTCATACCAGAACCAAGAACACCCTATGGAATGGAGTTCTGCTTACACCTGGGGTCTTCATACCATAGTAATAGGTCTAGCTTAGTGTTTTGGGTTTTACTCTCTGGGCTGATGGGAGAGTAACCCAGGCCTGAGCCCAGGATGCACGCAGAGACAAGATTTGTCATCTCTTTGCAAGTTGACATTCCTACAACTGAGAGGGAGCCACACATCCAGAGAGGTTTGGTGCAGCAATTTGACCTTGGATCATGCCCTCTCGGTGGGAAGGACGAATATCCTGGTCTGGCCAAAAGCACACTAACGAGCCCTGGGGGGGTTCTCTTTCTTTCCCTTTAGAGATGGAATCCCTCCGTATCGCGTGGGGAGTAAGAAACGGCTCCAGAGAGAGATGCATCGCAGTGTGAAGGCCAATGGCCAAGTGTCTCTACCTCATTTCCCGGTGAGTATTAGACAGGTGCCACCACGAGGCACTGGTCTGCAGCCATGTTGAACCAGGAAGAAAAGGGTGGGGAGGGGAAGAGTATGGAAGAGAGGAAACGTGTGCAATCTGATGGTCCCCTAGCGGAACACAAGGGTGGATAGGACAGGGCAGAAGGTGTTCATTCATGGTGGGTTGGGCCATGACGTTGAGTAGATTGATATGGCGATGAGACCCAAGATGACCTGTTTGACCCTTTAAGTTTTCTCAGCTCAAAACAAGAGGGACCATTTTCTATGAGAAAGAAACCAAAGTTGTTGCTTCTTGGAAACCAAGAAATGGTGGGAGCTAAGCCCTGTTCTTCTTGAGCATGTTGGTACAGAGTTCACTAGAATGGAAGCTCCATGAGGACAGGAATTGTTTGTTTTGTTTTGTGAACATCTATAACTGTATGAAGGAGCTCTGGTAGCGTAGTGGTTACGAATCGGGCTGCTAACCTCAGGGACAGCAGTTTGAAACTACCAGCTGTTCCGCGGGAGAAAGATGAGGCTTTCTGCTCCCGTAAAGATTTACAGCCTCGGAAACCCTGTACAGGGTCACTATGAGTCAGAACCGACTCCATGGCACATAACAACAACAGATAACTGTATAAGAGTCCTGGTGTGGTTTTGTAACTGCAAGGTTGTGGTTCAAACTGAACGTCAGTGGTTCAAACTCACCAGCCGCTCCTTGGAAACTCTATACAGGATGACTATGAGTTAGAACCAATTCCATGGCACTTTACGACGACAACATATCTGTATAAGCAATGCCTACTGCTTCCTAGATGCTCAGTGAATGGATGAACAAATCCTGAGTTAGAGTCATGCCCTAAGGTGTCGGGTTCCTGAGTTGACTACCTGCTTGGCCATTTCAGTCTTTACTTAGCGTTTCTTGGGCGTTTCTCCTCCGGACCCTGGAAAGTTGCTGCTCTCCTTTGGGTTTCCAGCCCTGTAACTTGACATTGTTCCTGCTGCTGTGTGTCCGCCTGGACAACTTCCAGAGGACTGTCTGGAAGATGGGGTCACGGGAGCGGCTTCTGCCTGTGGTTGAGGAGGGAGACTAAGGGAGGACTTTCCTAGGTTTTCTCCTTTTAACTCTACGGCCTTGAAGGCTGGAGGCACGTGGTCCCTTTGCCCCAGAGGCTCTTTGTCCACAGGCCCATCTCAGGATCTCTGCTTCTGATTGGACCCTGAGATCCAGGTTGTAAGAAAGGTGTTGTTCAGAGAGGAGAGACCACCACCTGGTTGAAAGCAAGTATATGCTTATGAATCCTGTCCACCAACTTCAGACAATGCAGCGCTTAGTAAATGAACACATCAGATTGCAAGTCCGTGTGGCATTGATTTGTGGAAGTTGTTAGAAGAATCCCACTCTGAGAGTTCCCAGAATAGACAAGGACAGATTTATTCTTATTTAAATTGAGAAACCTATGCTTCCTGGGGCCCCTCTAGCCGCCTTGCCCCCAAACACCACAATATTGATGATACAGTGGGGTTCTTTTTTTCTTTTTAAACTCGTGCGTGTACATGTTGGTCAAGAAAAGTACTAGCACCCAAGCTTGTGAATTAGATGATTTTGTTGTGGGATGTACAAACAAATCTGCTTTTCAGTGCTTTAATTGAAGTCAATCTACCACCCGGTTCATCCTGTGGAGGCACGTTCTTGTCTCCTCACACATTTCTGCTTAGTGGGTGCCCAGCCCGATTAAAGTGTGGCTTTGCAGCTTGGCCCTCTGCTTACCCATTCCCACCCCTAAGAGTAGGGCCAAGTGAGAGAAAGAATTGGGAACTGAGGAAGGAGGAGGTGGGGGTGACAAGATGACAGGGAACGGATAGAGAGGGCGGTGGGGGGGGGGCTCGCTCTATCTGCTGCTCTAGCTGGCGGGGCCAGGCGCCGCTTTATATTCCATACTTGATTTGGAGATGTTCCCTTTTTCCCTTGATAGATGGGCTCTAGGCCACCACGCACAGCAGTGTTCCGCTACTAGCCTGCAGCGGCTTTCTTCATTTTCTGTACAAAGAGATGGGAGGGGGGCAGGAGCTGTGTGAGCGGGATCGAGGATGGTGTTGAGACAACACTGCCTCAAAAGTACGCAGTGTGCCGCCAGAAAATAAATCACCACTTCTCCTCTGATCCCCAGCCGGTCAACTCTTTTCTTTTCCTCCTTTTTCCTCCCCCCGCCCCCCACCTCCTTCCTAATCTCTTTTTTTTTATTATTTTTTATTTCCAACTCCTCTTCTGTTTAGACTCTACTTTTTATTCCTTGAGTTGATATCTCACTCCCCTCCCCACATCGGAAGGCTGCCTTTTCCCCCCCCCCCCCCTTTTTTTTTTTTTTTTTTTGATGTTTGACAACAGTCTTTGAAGATTTTCGTCTTCAGAGTAGCTACTGATGGGCTGGTTGTACTACAGAGAGAACAAGCCGGGCCTCTCGGAGTGCGACCAACTGCTCCTGCCCAAGGCAAACGCTGGTGGGGATCATGGCCCTCCATGAGGCCCAGGCAAAGCCACATAAAAGGCCTGAGCAGCCCCGGCCGCCTCTCCATCAGAGTGGATCGCGGGGCTGCGGCCAGTGCGGGGGCCCAGGAAGCTAGGGCGAAGCCGCCTTCCTGCACCAAGCCCCCTAACGTGGCTCGTGCCCATCTTCCTCGTGTCCTCTAGAGAACCCACCGCCTGCCCAAGGAGATGACCCCTGTGGATCCTGCCACCTTTGCGGCCGAGCTCATCTCTCGGCTGGAGAAGCTGAAGGTGGAGATGGAGAGCCGGCACAGCCTGGAGGAGCGTCTACAGCAGATCAGAGAGGTAGTGCTGGCTGCCCTCTCTAGTCCTTGGGCTGGACAGGATGGGGCGGGGACATGGGGAGTGGGAAGGGGGTCCTCCTGCTCACTGCTCCTTCCTCCCCTTCCAGGATGAAGAGAAGGAGGGGTCTGAGCTGACCTTAAGCCCCGCACAGCACCCCCTCTCCCTCCTGCCCTCTGGTAGCTATGAGGAGGACCCACAGACAATTCTTGATGACCACCTGTCAAGGGTCCTCAAGACTCCCGGCTGCCAGTCACCAGGCATGGGCCGCTATAGCCCCCGCTCTCACTCCCCAGACCACCAGCACCACACCCTCCTCCCACCCCGGAGCAAGCTACCCCCGTCGGCAGCCACGCTGGCCAGCTGCCCCCTCCTGGGGGGCAAGGGTTTTGTGGCCAAGCAGACGATGACGAAGCATTTCCACCAGCACCACTACGTCCACCACCACGCGGGGCCCAAGACCAAGGAGGAGATCGAGGCAGAGGCTGCTCAGAGGGTGCACTGCCGGTGCCTCGGGGGCACCGAGTATTACTGCTACTCCAAGTGCAAGAGCCACCCCAAGGGGCTGGAGCCGATGCCGGGAGAGCCGTTCGGGTAAGTGTCCGCAGACCCTGCTGAGCCCCAGTTTGGGCTCCCCCAAGCCAGTCCCTGGCAGGTCTGGGTGGAGTCGGGTCGCAGGCATTTAGCTTCCAGGAGGGAGACAAGGCTGGGCAGAGGGGATGGGAGCAGTAGCAGGTGCATCTGCCTTCCTCTGCTTGCCAGGTGGTCCATTCCAGGCATCCTAAGATTTAACAGGGTCTCTGGGTGGGTGTGGTTCTTGGTTCCCCACAGCGGCAGCAGAGGCAGCTCCTTGCCCAGGCGGAATGGGAAAGGCGTCCAGCCGGGCCTGGCTCTGCCCACCAGGGAAGGAGGAGGGGCTCCAGGTGGGGCTGGGGTGCCGCAGCTTCCCAGGGAGGAAGGAGACAGGTCGCAGGAGGTCTGGCAGTGGATGCTGGAGAACGAGCGGCAAAGCAAGCCCAAACCCCATAGGTAAACACCCGCCCACCCTTGGCCACCCGAAGGGGCAGCCCAGTCAATATTGAGGTGTCGCGGGGATGGCTATTTCTGCAACCAAACAAATGGCACTGTTTGCTCTCGCCATCCTAACAGTAACCCGTGGACTGAGCAGACCACAAAAGTGTTATGTTTTAGCAACAGCTGCGTTCGTGTGACAGCAGAGCTGTTTGGTTTTTTCCCTCTCTGTAAGCAGAATAGAGAGGTTTCTATTAAGTCACATTTTCCAGTTTTACTAACCCAATTTCTTTCCTTCTGCTTTCACCCTTCATTCCTTGTTCAGCGCCCAAAGCACAAAAAAGGCCTACTTGGGTGACTCTGTCCGCACAGCTCCCAGCGAGCGAGCCGGCCGTCACCATCTATGGGGGACCAGCAGTGGGCACCCCCGTGCTGTCTCTCGGCCCCACCCACTCACCCAGGACCCTGCCATGCCTCCCCTGGCCCCACCCAACACCCTGGCACAGCTGGAGGAGGCCTGCCGCAGGTTGGCCGAAGTGTCGAAGCCCCCCAAACTGCGGTAAGTGGATGGGGGATGGCCTGAGTCTCATTTAGAGGCTTGTTGGGTGTGGAGGTAGAGACCCAGCCTGTCCTTAGTGGACCAAACCAAACCCGTTGCTGATAAGTTGAATCTGATTTTTGGTGACCCCCACGTATGTCAAAGTAGAGCTGTGCCCCACGTGACTGACTTTTCTGAAATTGATCACTAGTCTTTTTTCCATGACTCCTCTGGGTAGACACGAACCTCCAACCTTTCTGTTACCAATGGAACGCATTCACGTTGGCACCACCACCTCATGGGAAGAGTCTGCTTTTCTGTCTGGGCTGTGAATTCTTGTTGGGCAGGAGGAGCTGCCCAGCAGTCTCCCTTGCAGCTTCTCGACATCCTTTCCTATAGTATGTGCTTTCCCTTGGAACAAACCAGCAATCATTCCGGCTGTCATGCCTAGAAATAAGAGAATAGATTTCACCAGTTCCTTGCACCCAATTTTCTCCCCACCCTACTCACTTAAAGCCAGGTACAGGTGTGACTGAGGAACTCATATCTCCGGGGAATGACAACCCTTCAGTCCTTTGTCTGGCCTGGGAGTGTCTCATGTTGGCCTCCCAGAGGTGGCTTAGGATGGCCAGTCCCAAGACGTCTTTCAGACCTTGGCTGTTGATTCGTAGTGACATTATAGAATTATCCATAGGATTTCATAAGCTGTAATCCTTCCGGAGTAAGATTGCCAGATCTTTTTTCTGTAGAGCCCCCAGGGGGGTTCGAGTCTCACCCACCTTTAGGGTCGTAGTTGAATGTTTATACTTGCACCTAAGGAGCTCCTCCAAGCCTCCTGGATCCATCTTAACATGAAGCCTTGATTGGAAGTTAAGTCTGTGTGGCTTCAGGACCCCAAAAAGAATGCCTTTCTGTCTGCCTCCTACCATTACCTTGGGAGATCGTTAAACCCCTCACTCTGGCTGTGTCCTCAGGTGCTGTGTAGCTGGTCAGCAAAGGGACAGAAACCACCTGGCCACTGGTCAAGCAGGAGCCACGCCCTTCTCCACTCCAGGCCTGGCGTCTGAAGAGTGAGTGTTCTTACCTATGTTTTCTGAGGGCTGCAAGTGGGTTACCTTCCGGGGTTCTTCACATCTGGAGCTACATTTCTCTGAAGCTGCTTTATGTCTATAAAACCACCTCAATTGTAACATGAGTGACAAAGAGCGATGATGCAGCTGTTGCCATTTTAAGACTCCTCAAAGGACTTGTGTCGTGCATCCTAACTTGTTTACAAGTTTCCTTCCTTGATGGGATGGGCACACTGTAGTCTTAGGCTGTGGTGTAAAGCCATTAGCAGGTGGGCAGTGGGGGCTCTGAGTGGGCCTGGAAGAGTCGCGGCCCCTGTTCATGCTTGCGAGGTCTGTGTGCTTGAGACTTAAGGTGGGTTCCGCCACCGCAGACATGGAGAGGAAGGGCTAGCCTCCCTTGCCGTGTCGTGTTTCTCTGGGTAGATTGGCACACTCGCAGGGCGGACAGAGAAGACTGGCTTAGTTTAATTACAGGATGGTGCATTTAAACAGAAATCTGCAACAGAGATCTAAAATGGTCTGAATAATTAAAGTTTTCTTTCTTTGCCTCTTCATCTTGTGCAATGAGCAATGTTTGAAGTCCTGACTGGACCACCTCCCCAGACCCTTTCATTTTAATTGGTTAACCTTAAATCTACCAGCTGTCTTGGTCATCAGCTTGTTGTATTTAAGCCAATCTACAAAAACGTGAACAATTGGAAAAGTGACAATAACCAGATGAACTTCAGTGAGTCCAGGGCATTGTGTTCTGAGTTCTTGGCATCCCAAGTTCTTGGCAGCTGGGTTTGTCCCTTCATGATTCCTTGTTGGGAATGAGACCCCATTTGTGTTAATGCCAACGGGCTGCTTGGGCGATGGGTGGGTTGCCTCAATTTCTCTCAGGAGACAATATTGGGGTGCTCCTTCCTGTGTGTGCTCCGGCCCATGGCTGGAAAACGCTAAACTGGTTGCTTGTTTTTTTTCTTTCCAGTCACAAAGAGCCAAAGCCGCTGGTGGGTGTCCACCCTTTCCCGGCCAGTGAGCTGGTTGTCACCTACTTCTTCTGTGGAGAAGAGATTCCATACCGGCGGATGCTCAGGACTCAGAGCTTGACACTGGGCAACTTCAAAGAGCAGCTCAGCAAAAAAGGGAATTATAGGTAAGTGTCCAGTGGTTCCTCTCCAGAGTATGTGTGCTCAGAGGCGAGAGCCGGAGCCTGAGGGGGCCTCAGGGAGGACATCGGAGTGGGCTGCTTGGCATCTTTCCTCACTTCCTCTCTTCTCTGCCTGGGGACAGAAATAACTCAGCAGTAGGGGTGGTAGTGGGGTCTGTGGGGCCCTGAGCTTGTCTTTCTACCAGGTGGAAAGTCTGCTTTGTCAGAAGGAGAGCGGTGGGCTTGGGATCATTATGTGGGAGCTCTGCTTGAGAGGGAGAAAATACGCGCGCGCGCGCGTGTGTGTGTGTGTGTGTGTGTGTGAGAGAGAGAGAGAGAGAGAGGGTGGACAGCCAGCCAGAGAGATGGACTGATAAGGAGAGATGAGACCAAAGCCCTGCTCCCCTCCTGGCCTGGGTCTAGGAGAGACTCACTACAGACTTCACCAGAAGGGCAGAGCTCCTTGCAGGGCCAGCTCACTCTGGTTCTATTGACGCTCCGTCTCAAGCAGAGATGCTTTGATCCTGGACAGAAGAGGGGCAGGACCTATGGGTGGGTATTCTCCCAGCCCAGGCCCTACTGCTTTGCCCTCCCTACTGGGGCCTTGGGGCAGTGGGCAGCTCCTTCCCTCCCCTACAGGACAGCAAGAGGAACTGACCAGATACGGTCCAGCCCTGGCCATTGCTTCTCTTTCCCCTGAGTAAGGGACAGGTGATTGTTCCATCTTAGATCATCAGAGTTCTGCCCTCCCCTTCTCAGCGCCTTCATTCCATGGGGAAATGTGGATTCTACCCCAGTGCTATCTTGGGTACAGAGCTGGGACTAGTAGGGCACCCCCAGCAAAGACTTGGCTGCTGCTTTTTGTTGTGAATAGACACAGTGACACTCATTTCCCGAGTACACCAACCAGCGCTGCAGTGTGCTCAGTGTTGACTTGGCTGAGCTTTGAGTGGGGCTGCAGGTGGTCTGCCTGGGAGGAAGGCCCAGGAGTGAGGGAGCCCATGGCTCTGGTCGCATCTGGCTCTGGGGTTGTTCTTTTTTCTTTTTTCCTAAGGCTTACTTAATAAGCCCGACTTTGAAGCTCCGGCCTCCCGTTTAATGCACAAAGACTTGCACAAATGGGCAGCTTGCAGATTCTTTACTGATTGGATCAGGCTGTCCCGAGGCCCCCGCCAGCCCCTTATCAACTCTCTGGCCGGAATTGGATTCTGAGCCTCCTGGGAATGTGGGGGCTCAGGGTGCCAGGTTCGCCATCCAAGCCAGTGTGGTGCTCACACATACCTCAACTCACCCCCCTCCCACCATAAAAACTCCCACGCTGGGGGAGTGGGGGGGGTGAGGGGAGGCCCTAGGTCGAGTTGAGTAAACTCAACATGGCAGAGGTACAAAAAGGGCAACATTCGCTCCAGACGTGCCAGACGCTATTGGTCCCAGATGTCAGAAGAAAGCAAAGTTTGCCACAGAAAGCATTTTGCAGTGGAAAAGTCAGTTTCTTGAAGAAATAAGGCCAGTGCAGGGCGTTTGAAGTCCTGGGGCTGGGGGAAGTGGGGAGGGATTGCTGAGGCGGGGGTGTCTCTCACCCTCTCAGAAAGGAGGTTGCAATTACGTTTACAAAAAAAAAAAAAAAGGGAAAAGGTCATTGCGTGTTTGTTCCTGAGTTTTAGTAGAAGACCACATTGGTTAAGCCCCAGAGGCGTTCGAGGTGGGTCAGGAGTTGAGTCCTTTACTTGAAAACTGGCTTTAAAAAAAATTTCCTTACTGTCTCAGGTCTCCTCCCCATTTTTTTAGTGTCTAGGGTGCCCCTTTGAGTATTTCGATCCCTCGCAAATGAAGCATTTTCATCCCTGGCCTCTCAGAGCGGAGATGCTGTCTAATCTGAGTGCTTTGCGCTCAGCCGGGAAGGTTAAATGCAAAGTACCTTGACTCAACCCAGCTGTTTCCCTTGATTTAGCCTTATCTCCTCTGAAATTATTTGACGTGCTTCCATGAAAGAGGCAGGGGGAAAATCTCTCTAACCAAGGGAATTTTTTTTTTTTTTAAAGAGAAAAGACAGAAACAAAAAAACCCCAAGTCTAACATCCCGAGACACAGTTAAATTGTTTTCGGTTTGCTCTTGTCCTGCTGGGGACATTTTGATCTTTCCTTTCTATGTGATCCTTATTCACTGGACGTGACAGCTTGCAGGAACCCCTTTAATCCATCTGACTGTCTCCCCAGGGATGGAGAAGGCGAGGGCACAGGCTTCGTATTCATTTCCTTGGGAGACTCTTGGGGAGTGGGCCCGCCCCAGAGGACAGTAGTTGTTTTTGAATGTGATTTTCCCAGAGGCTGGTCATTTGCGCCTGTGCAATTAACCAGCCTTAGAAGAAAGGATGCTGGGTGGGATAGTAGGAGCCTCTAATCAAGGCATAATAGAAGGGTCCTGTGGCTTTGACCCTGGAGGGAGGGTTAGGATGGGAGAGGCAGAGGAAAACAGGAGGGAAGGAGGGGGCATGGGGCTGGTGCCATTTGCTCAACCCTGGGCAGCAGGGTTGAGCTGGCCTTAGCTACCATTATGGGTGGTAGCTAAGCTCTGGTGGGTGGGACGAATGAGAGAGTGGTTGACCCTGTAGACTTTGAGGGGTCCTCCCCGCCCTTCACTGCTACTGTAAGTGTGGCCCTTCCTTTTCCATATCCCCATCCCATTGGGTGCTGTGAAGTTTGTCCACACTCACAGAAGCTCACAGCTGTGGGGCTTCCTTGGCTGGCTGTCACCTCCAGGAGCAGAATGCCTGGTCTTTGTCCCGTGTGTTGGGTTTGACCTTCCAACCTCTCAGTAAGCAGCCAAGGGCTTAGCGGTTGCGCTACCAGACCTCCTTACTCTCATCCGTTCCTGTTCCTCCAAAAGGCAATGGAGCAGCTGAGGGGTCCAAAGTATTCTCTCTCCAGCGTGGGTACCTTGGTGCCAGCGGACATCCTGGTTGCAAGCTGCAGGCACAGAATTGTTTGCGTTCACCCACATGCATGGGACCTTTGTGCTTTTTGTGCAGCTAGGCCACCTCCAGTTGCCATCCTGTATCAAACACGGGCAGAGGTTCACATGCACGTTGCAGATTCTTAAACTGTCTCCATGCCCAGAGTTGGCAGACTTTTCTTTTCAGCAGTGCAGAGAGCATGCAACTTTATCGAGAAAATCTTTTGGTTCTCCTTTTAAGGTATTACTTCAAAAAAGCGAGTGACGAGTTTGCCTGCGGAGCGGTGTTTGAGGAGATCTGGGAGGATGACACGGTGCTCCCCATGTATGAAGGGAGGATTCTGGGCAAGGTGGAGAGGGTCAATTGAGCCCTTCGGGTTTGGACTTGGGACCTGTAGAGCTGAAGCCCTCCTGACCTGCCTTGGATTTGAGCAGCAACATCAAACATTTTGAAGGAAAATTAAACCAATGAAGAAACAAAGTCTAAGAATTGACCAGTGGACCTTTGGGGAGGGTGTTGTGGTGGTTGGGGGGAGGTTGGTTTTTGTTATTCACAAGCTGGGTACTGAGATAAAAAAAAACCCGAACTATTTATTAAAAACATGACCACTCTTGGCTTTTGAAGATGCAGACTGTATTTGAGAGACTTCCATTTATGAGGCTTCCTAGGGATCTGAAAACCCGTAAACTCAGAGAAACTGTGTATAGCTTACCTGAACAGGAGTCCTCACTGATATTTATTGAACAATTGATTCTCCCCACTCTCAGTTTATGGATAATGCTGCTTAAAACACAGAAGGGGCGGGGGAGAGAAAATTGTAGTTGTTCTGTGTAAACTGAGGAGTTGAGCTTGGTGCACATTAATCATTTCGCTATTCTGAGGAACTATGCTTTGCCCTGTGTTTTCTCTAAGTGAAGACAGACTTTACAAAAAAAAAAAAAAAAAAATGGTGTCTTACCATTGACACACCCCAGAAATTGGTGCATATTATTTTTCTACGCTGCTCTATGTTGTCTGAAAGGTCTTGAGGGTTGACTATGTTGCCACGCCAATGCCATTGTGCGGTAATCCATCGCAGCAGGCGGGACGGGTACTTCTTGTTGGCGCCTTCCACCCACCCTGTGGCTGGGGTTCCATATCTTTAAATCCCCTCAGGCCTGGGGTCCAGTCATCACCCTGTGGTTCAAACATGTGCTTTTATTGAAATAATCAGGTTTTTTTTAAATATCCAAATTTGTCTTTGGACCACAGTTATTCAGGAAACCAGCGCATCCCCACCCCTCCTTGTAAAGAATCAAACAGTTTAGAAGACCCAGCAACACCTTTTCCCCTTAGCCACCTTCCTTTTGACATTTGGGTTTTTGTGTTGTTTATCTGTACATTCTGTTGGCCACCGTTACCTTGTACTATACGTCTGTATATATTGTACGGCAGAGGAGTATTAATCCACTATCTCTAGTGCTTGACTTTAATATACTCAGTACAGTACCTGTACCTGCATGGTGGTGTGCGCCGTGAGCCGCCCTATATTGAGGGCTCGAGCCTCCCTTGTTTTTTGAAAGGGGTTTATGTACAAATATATTTTATGCCTTTTTATTACAAGTCTTGTACTCAGTGACTTTTGCCATGGCATTTTGTTCTACATATACTGTAAATTATGCATTATAAAGAGTTCATTTAAGGAAAATTACTTGGTACAATAATTATTGTAATTAAGAGATGTAGCCTTTATTAAAATTTTATATTTTTCAAAAAAACAAAAAACAACAAAAAACCAACAACCTTGCCTTGTCTTTGAGTCTCGGGGATGGGAACAGGGCAAGTGGCTATACGTGTGAACATCTGCATCTGGTTCCCCACCCTCCCTGAGCCTCTTTCTAGCTAATCCTGAGTCCTATGTGATGTGGCCCTGCCCTGAACGTCCCTCAAAATATTTCTTCAAAAGTTGCCTGGCTGCCGATGGAGGACTCTTTGGCAGAGCCGACTAGACTACGATTCCTTTGATGTCTTTCTCCGTCACCTACCTTCAGCCTCTGTCCCCCAGGTGAGGTCTCTAGTCAGACCAGGTGCTAAGGAACTGAGATGGAACCCGCCCAGGAGTACTCAGGAAACTCTATACGTCTCTCTGAGGTAGACACCTCTCAGAAAATGGGGTTGTAGATGTGGACTGTCCATGGGGAGCTAATGTTCAGTCAACTCTATGGCTTAGGAACAACTGACATCTCATTATTGGCCTTGTCTGACCATCCGAGTGTGCTATGTGGGCCCTGGATGCCAGCAGGTGAGCAAACTGAGGAGCGGCAGGCTGCATTTCAGATCTGGGCTGGTGGCAGTTAGGTACAACAACAAACTGTCAGGTCTGTTTTAAGGACCCCTGTGATGGGTCCTTTTCCTCTTTAGAAATAGTCGGAGAGCAGTTGGGCTTGGGTTCTGGTGTGCGGAGTTCTTATAAAATGAGATTTCAGGTGTTCTGCACCTTTTTTGTGGCTTCTGTAAACTGACTTTCTGGCTGTTGGCGTTCTAAGCTACCCCCACAAGAAGACCAATGAGAGAAACCCTCAATGGGGCAGGGGGTGCTACCAGCTTCCTTGATCTTGGCCCTAATGGCTAGAATGAGGTCACAGCCAGGGGGATCCTGAATCCACTTTCAAAATTCTAAGGCTGCCTTCCCATACCCCACAAATTCTTCAGAGGTACAGCCTGGGGACGGCAGTGGTCAGTGGGTCCAGTGAGGAGACTGGCACCTGCAGTGGGCTCAGACAAGCCTGACCTCAGGTCTCTGCACCACTCCCCACTGGTGAGGACTTAGGCATCTCCTAGACTGCAGCTGTGAAGTAGATCCTGAATGCATCTTCCACCTCTTCTGACAGGGCCTCACAAATTTGGTAATTCAAGTTCACTAGCTGCATCTCGGAGGAAACCCTATACAGGGTCGTTCTGAGTAGGAACTGGCTCAATGGCAATTAAAAACAACTCGTAAGAATCAAGGCTTCTTATTCTGGTATGGGTGGGCTTCAATTATAAGTCCCTGAAATTGTTTGCGAAGTCACCTGTGTGCCTTCTGAGGTGAAATTAGATTTTTTTTAAAGGCAGGGGTGATCAATTTCTGCCAGATTTTAAAACATTCGCGGGCCACACAAAATGATCAACTTAAAAAATTAGCCTGCTGTATTTGGTCAAACATTAAATGAATTCACCCCTAATGTGATGGCTGAAGTCATGGTGTGGCGCTGTGAGTTTTGTGCTGGATTGCAAGGTTGGTTTGAACAGCAAACTCACCAGCTACTCCTCAGAAACTATACAGGGTCACTATGAGTCAGTGGCACCTAACAACAATGTGGTGGCTGGAACTGCGGTTGCCTTGGCAGGGCCAGACCAAATGATTCTGCGGGCCTTATATGGCCCATGGGCTCGTGGTTTCCACCGCTGCTTTAATGGATGGTGCCGGGAAGAAAAAAACCAAAAAGGTCACACCTCTGGTCTTGGTTTAGTTTGCCAGCTCCTTCCCCTTCTCTTCCCAAATCATGGATACCCGGATCTTCCAGAATCCCTTCCCTCACTCCTCCAGCCCCCACCTCATGTGATCAGAACTCCCCTGGAGCTTTTTATTTTAAAGAACTATTTTTGTTGTTGAGACTACATGCAACAACACACCAACCGTTTCTACATAGATAATTCAGTGACATAGGTAACAACTACCCCCCTTTTTGTAGCCTATTCCTCTTCCAGTTAACTGCCCCTAAGTTAAAGATGCTTTCTGCTCCGGTAAGGATTTACAGCCTCAGAAACCCTATACAGGGTCGCTAGGAGTCAGAACCGACTCTGTGGCACACACCACCACCACAAAACCAAACCTATTGCTGTGAAGTAGATTCTTCTGCAGAGTGGCTGGTGGGTTCAAACCTCAGGCCTGGCACTTAGCAGCTAAACATTTAACCAGCAGGGCACCCCTTGACCCCACACAGCAAGATTTTAAAAGAACACAGTGCTCCCCATAGAGGCATTCATTACTGCGGAACAGTGTTTAAGGAGATCTGGGAGGATGACACGGTGCTCCCATGTATGAAGGGAGGATTCTGGGCAAGGTGAAGAGGCATACTAAACTATTGCTTGATTTTCAGAAGACTTCCGGGAATATTTTTGGTTTATGTTTTAAAGATGATCTCAGGGTAATAGTTCCAGAACTTTCTCCAGCCTCCATGACTCCAGAATATCTAGATTCACAAGAATTTGAAATTCTGGTCTGCATTCCGCCAACCCTGCTCTCTTTTGATCCAGATTCTTGTATAGAATCTTTTTGATCAAAATGTTCAATAATGGTAACCAAACACCACCAATTTCTCTGGCATCATGGCAAAGGAGGCTGTTTGTTGTTTTGGAGACTGGAAAGTTCTGAGAGATGCAGAATTCCCACCCTGCGACCCACTGAATCTGACAGGATCCGCCTGCTACCAACATCCAGGTGATTCTTGGGCGTAGTGACATCACTCTGGTCTTCCCTGTTAGGAGTTGAATGGTGTCCTCCCCAAACGGTAATGTCCATGTCCTAATATCCATGTCCTGTGCATGAATCTGACCTTATTTGGAAATAGGTCTTTGCAGATTTAATTAAGAATGAAGCCATTAGAGTGGACCCTAACCCACCTTGATTGGTATCGTTATAAGAGACTGATAGGTATGTTGAATGCCTTCGAGTTGGTTCTGACACACAGCAACCGTTGATAGAGTTTCCTAGAAGCAGCTGGTGAGTTTGAACCACTGACCTTGTGGTTCAAACCGACCTTGTGGTCCAGTGCTTATCCTACAGCGCCACAGGGGGGAACAATACCATTAGTGAGGTACACGTAGTATAACAACCATTTGAGAGCAAGAGGGCTGCATTTGCCTCAGAACAAACTTCAGAAGGGTGGGGAAAGAAGAAGGAATGAAAAGAAGACAGAAAGTGAGTGAGAAGGTGATGTAACACTGAGAGAGTTGTGGTCATTGAGATGAATTAAAGTCTATGATTTGTTGAGTGTGAAACATGATCTGCTCTGTAATCCTTCATTCAACTCACAATAAAAAGTTTATAAAAAACGGAAAAAGAGGCAGAGAAGAGAGACACACAGGAAGAAAGCCATGTGAAGATGGAATCGGAGATTAGAAGGATACAGCCACAAGGTAAGGAATGCCAAAGATTGCCAGCGACACCAGAAATGGAGATGGGCATGGAATCGATTCTCCCTAGAACCTAGAGAGACCATGGTTCCTTGAGTTTGGACTTCTGGCTTCTAGAACTGTTCTTCTATGTCCCCCAGTTCCGGTTTATTTGTTAGAACACCTCTGGGAAGCAAATGCCTCCCCCTTTCTAAACTCCTCCAGCTTCAA